CTTACGGCCAGCATCCTGTAAATAACTTGAGCAGGATCTAATTCTTTTCCCCATTTTTGAAACTTAGCACCAAAGAGAGAACAATAAAAAGTAGTTTCTGCATTATATGTAGCTTCAGAGAAAGTGAAATAATTTACTTGTCAATTTTCCAATGGTGTATTACACTTCCAGGGTCATACTTGTGTCTCCAGTTCCTGCACAGAGCTCCCTCATTTTGAGATCTACTGAGATACTGAGAATGGGGGCAAAGCACATGACTGCGCAGGTTGTGCACTGCACAACTCCAGGGGGTGCTGGTCACGTAGACTATGTTGAGAAATGCACCCTACTGTACAGCTGTATTGTGGAAGCCCTATCCGAGAGGCTTGAATACTTTCCTGATAAACACGCTCTATCATTTAACATTATTTACTGAGCATCTAATGTATATGAAACACTGTTCTAGGCTCTGGGGATACAACAGTAGTCAAAAAAGATACAGTCCTCATCTATATGGGGCTTACATTCTAGCAGAATGGAGCGGGCGCAGATAATGAACAAAATCTAAGTATGGATACGGTTTATCAGAAGGTGATCATTGTTAAGGAGAAGAGTAAAGCAAGATGATGAGGAAATGGAATGACAGTAGTAGGGAAATAACTATTTGAAATAAGGTAAACCGAAAGGCTTCACCATTGGCATTTTTGATCGGAAGCCTGAAGGGAATGAGGAACAAGCTGCTCATACAACTGAGGCAAGAATATTCCAGGCAGAGCAAAGAGCAAATACTAACACCCTCAGGTGGAAACCTAGTTGGTACAACCAGGGGGATGGCAATGAGGTGGGGTGGATGAGGGGACAGGGGTAGGACTGTAGTCAGGTTACTGGGGTGAGAAACAGGTCTCCTAGGGCCTAAACAGCTTTCCTAAGGATTGGTCTTTACTCAGGTGAGATCAGAAGCCACTGGAAGGCCTTCAATGGGGGAGTGACATCATCTCATTCAGGTGTTAAAAGAATCATGCTGTCTTTGAAGGAATTTTTATTATGTAAAGTCTAAACAATTTCCCCAAATAACTCTAGGAGTGTTTTTTGCTTCTGTTTTGTCAAAACTAGCAACATGATTTAAAAAATTGTTTCCTTTCTTAAATTCAGTCTGAATTAACATGTTGAAGTAAATATATTAAATACTTCATCAAGTGGTAAATACCAAAATCTTTCATCTCAAAAAGCATTACAGCTAATTCATTTATTCCTTTCTGGATGTTTCAATTTGCAAAACAAGCCAGATTAGTTTCTCTCTCTGTTACAGGGAAAAGAACCTGGAAAGAAAAATCTTAAACATCTCAACAGTGAGGGCAACTGTTTCATGGATTATAAAGGCACAGAGATAGGGTTGGTCAAGGCTGCAGGGAAGTTAACTGCTCACAAAGCAATTTGCATTTTGTCAAGTTAACCTAGCTTGTAAAACACAATGTTCCAGAATGTTCTGGCCTTTTGGAAAAAATGTAAGCAAATCCACTGTTAAAAAAATCATCACAAATGCCATGCATGTTCAGGGGTTTCAGTTAAACTGCAAAAAGGTAACTGTTGGGAATAAAGTCCAGTTGTCATAAGAACTCTGCTCAATTTTCTGAATCCTCTTTTATGAAAGTATTTATGTACGTACAATTCTCTTCACAAAAGCCTCAGCAAATCTCTTGTCTAACCACCCTCAGATTTGTTTAGTGTGTATTTATGGACATTTACTCATAGATGCAAATGACTCATAACAAAAAAATAAAACAAAACAATGAATAACTTGGGTTTGCACTAGACCAGTCTCTATACTGATATGCCGACACAGTTTCCTCTTACCTATTTTTGTACATAAAAGTATTCCACAGTGTTTGAGAAAATACCTTGTAGCAAATAATAACAACAAAAATAATGCCTGCTTCAAACCTGATTTCTTGTAATGTCATGACTAATTTGCATCACTGAGCTGTTAGCACTCATACTGTAGATTTTTTTTTTTTTTTTTTTTTTATTTATTTGACAGACAGAGATCACAGGTAGGCAGAAAGGCAGGCAGAGAGAGAGAGCAGGGGAAGCAGGCTCCCTGCTGAGCAGAGAGCCCCATGCAGGACTTGATCCCAGGACCCTGGGATCATGACCTGAGCCGAAGGCAGAGGCTTTAACCCACTGAGCCACCCAGGCGCCCCACATACCGTAGATTCTTAAGAGTTTGGACACATGAAGAGTTGGACGCTTTATAGGTTGGACACGTCTTGGCTATAAAGCCAGTCATCAGAATCAATGTCTATGCTGTGAGACTTTATTAAGAAGGGAAAATAACTACCATGACTAGATCCTACCATGTCTTGCCCTATGTTAGGCATCTCTCACATCTTAGGCCTGTTTTAGTAACCTTATGAAGTTGGAAATATTACAACAATTTTAAATAAAAGGAAACTGAAGTCAAGGAGGTATAGTAATTTATCTCAATAATTTGCCTGTAACCAGCCAGAGTTCATTCAAACCTTGCACTTCTGTCTTAGGCTTGTTCCACTGAGTGACGTGGTCTTATTTAAAAGAGTAAATAAGATTAAACAGCTTAAGTATGTTTGTCGTCATAATTTTTCTTATTAGCTACCATTCTTGACTATCTTTTTTATTTACCTGTCCTTACTGTAAGAACTCGTAATTCTTACAACCACCTTGCAAGGTGATTGGGCCAGCATGGTGCTGGGCGTTGCACACGCTCAAGCCAATTTCACTGGTGAATATCCTCATTTTACCCATGAGACAAGAGCTAAGAAGGGAGGGACCCACCCAAAGTGGGGAAGTGGTCGGGTCTGATTCTTGGGTCTGTCTTATTCTTCTGGCTGTGGACTCCTTTCACATTCTTTACATTTTGACTACTTTAAAAATAAATAACATCACACTCAAACTGAATAATCTGAAAATTTACAATTCTCAAAGGGATCGGGTAACTTAAGGCAATACGTAATTTTGCTTCAACACTTGAAAATGATTCTACTAGACACTCTGGAAAATGATCTTTAAAGCTCCACATTTTCATGGCTTTGTTCATGTTTTCATGCTAAACATAACTGTTCTGGATCCTTTCTCTATAGGTTGGAATCCTCAAACAATTGTGGTCCTGGGTGAATCCACAGGGAGTTTATAAATTAGAAGGAAATGGAAGTTGTTGTTTTCTTGACATTCAAGAAATACTTAGCCTTGATACATTGGGTATATCTCCCTCATATTTCCTTAACTAGTTCAAAGAATTGGAAGTTTTAATCCTAAAACATTGGCTTCATAGTAAATAGGCAACAAAAGAAGGTTTGGATTAATACAACGAAGGAAGTGGGATGACCTGGAAAATGAATTTCTCATCTCTGACCTGTTTCCACATCTTGAAGTTCTTATGATCTAGTTTTTAATCTACACTACTTTTTATAGTGGATGTTTCCATTGGTGACAACCACAGAAGCAAATACATACTTAGTTTACTTGTTTGACTAAAAGCAAAATAAATACTAATATAAAAATGTGCTTATACTGTTATATTTTATATAACTATGATTTATCCATCTATTTATTTCTGTATAGAAAAATAATTCATACTTTTAAAGTCTAATCTAATAAACTTTTTATGTGAAAAGTAGTAAAATAGGGTAGTTATTGAGATAAATAGCCTATCTAATTTTTAAAATTTTAACCCTTAAAAGACTTCTCTTGGTCTATAAATATATCCTTCTGCTTTTAGTGTATAGACACATTTTCCCTTTAAGACATACCTAAGTAAAAAAAAAAAAAAAAAAGACATACCTAAGTATATGAAATCATATTTCAGTTTTGACTTACAAATATCATAAGATATAACTTCTTACTTCAAGACAGAAATCATCCACCAAACATACCCAACCCTTCAATATCCAAGAAGAGGCTAACGTCACTATTTTGTAAACCCACAGCATGAATGTTTCCAAGAGCATGGATAAACTTTTTTTTTAACTCTTTGGTAAGCTTATTTATATGAAGTTTTGCAGACATGTAAACCTTAAGCTCTTTTTAGACCATGTATCTTATCTCCATTGCAAACTATATCATGATGATATTAGAACTATCTTAGACAACTTAAGACTCACAGAAACCATATTTTAGGGCAAAATAAACCTCAAAGAATTATGGGTTAAGTCACCCCTATTTCCTTCAATGAGATATTTCATTATAATTCTATTTCTACAACCCCAAGCCCCACCAGACTCGGTGTATACTTAGGTTCTTACAACCTCCTAAAAAATTTCTTGAAATGGCCAGCCGGAAGCTAGCTTTCCCTTCTATGGATCCCCACAGAGGTCTCTTTCTCCCTTAAGGCACATGTCCCTTTCTGCCTAGTATTATAGTTATTTGCTAACATGCTGTATTTTCCCTCCCAGACAGTGAGCTCAAGGATGCCATCTTGAATCACATTCATTTCTTCTGCGATGGGTTAACTTATGCATAGTGGGTTCTCGGGAGTATTGAGTGTGACTCAAAAATTTCTGTTAGCCATGACAAACTGCCAGAGAGAATGAACAACCTATTAAGAAGTATTTCAGGAAGCCTTTGGTCAGGAAAGAAAGCCACAAGAGTAGAGAATTCTTCGAGAGGAGAAGCAGATTAACTGGCACATAAAAGTGACACATTCAATTTCTTCACCTTTATATAACCTCCAGAAGATCAAATGTTAATAAAATATTTATCTTCAGTTGTCACAAGCCAGACTTTGATTTAAAACTCTTAGGTACATGAATGTCATGCCAGGCCCAAAATATACCATCATGTATTTTTAATTTAAACATTAGTCTGTGAAAAATTTATGTATGCCTGGTATAAAAAAAAAAGTGGGTGAAAGTCTCTCAAATAGTCAACAGAAACAAGAAAACAGAACCTAGAAACAACTGTGAAACTCCCATACAAGTACCATGGAAAACAGTCCATTGGGAAACCCAATGTGCCATTGATGTGACCCAGAAAATGCATCTCCTTACCTTGAGGGAATCAAAGCAGGCAATGACTCTTCCGTTCTCCACCTGGCAGCTCTTGGGGGGGTGAGCAAATTTGCACTCCTCATCGGAGCGGGAGCAGGTGCCCCTCTGGAACTGCCTGCAGACCTCTAACGTCAGCCATTTTGTGTCTCTGACAGGGGCCACGTTCAAGGCCATGGTGCTCAAGCGCCGGGGACTCTGCTCGTTTCCGTCAAATGATGAAATCAATCCAGGTCCCAATGATTCTGAAACTACTGTTGTGAAAAACCCCACATGTGCGTCTGAAGGTAAGTGATAAATTGCTTAGTGAAGTCTAACCCAGGAAGCGGTGAGGCAGGGATTTGTCGGCGGTCAGTTACTCATCAATCAATATGCCCCACTTGAAGACTGCGGGCCGCAGCAGAAGCACGCGCAGTGTCATCTCCGGCTGCAAACGTCCGAGTCTCTTGACCGATCTGCAGACACAACTGTTTTTAATAAAGTGACTTCAAGATCATGGCACTCCTTGGGAGAATATTCAGTTCTGACGCTCACCGCTCTTGACGGTGCTGGAAAATAAGCCACCTAGACGCTCAGATCTTGGTAGGATTTCTCCTTCCTCCCAACCTTCCCAAATTTTGAAATCCAGCAGTTGGCAAAGTCAGACAATTGAGGTATCTTCATCCACTGTAAGGTCAGGGTAACGTGTCTTTGACGGAAGAACGATTTGAACGCCACAAGGGCTCGGGCTGCAGCTTCCAGCAAAAGTGACTTCGCACAGGCACTTTTAAATCACAAAACCTGCAGAACACAAAGAAAACATCAACTTACACCCAAACTCGGTAGAATCGACACTTTGACAAACTGTTTTCAGCTCTTATCTAGAATTTGCAAAAGTGCAGTTTCGAGCTTTGAGCGTAGAGACTAGTGAAGAAAGTTATGCATTAGAGAGAGAGAGAGACAGAGACAGAGAGGGAGGGGGAATACGCAACTGCAACCGTATTGCAGAAATGATCCAGGCAGCAGTCCAAAAGTTAGGAATGACTCAAACACATGAGTGTGGCAGACACAATAATTAGGCATTCCGAAACAATCCCATCTAATGTGCCTCATTGCCAAAACAGTGTATTAGAACCGTGGCTTCCGATTAATTTCACATTTAGGCCATTGATTTTATTGTTGGAAATGCTATCAACAATCATTCGGGATGTGTCTCTCCTATATAATACGGGTATTGGCATTTTGGATGAAGCATGAGCTCCCTATCCTTTACATCCTTTCCGGTTTACAGAGATTTGAACTTAGAAATGGATCTGGTAGAAGCCTCCTAGTATTTATTTTTAGGTCTCTCAGACTTCCTCCCTACTGTTAGTACTTCCTTCACGTTAGAATTCCCCTCTACCCTGTATGCACTCGGAGGGTAAGGACAATTTGTATTTGTCATTTCCATGTCCCTGGTGCCTTAGTTCATGGCCATTAGGTCCTCAAAAAATATTTACTGACCGATTTCACTGATGACCGCCTCACTGACTCAAGGGATGAATGCAAACTAGTTTTAGCTTAGTTCAGTTTAGGTTCTAATGGAGTCACAGTCTGCTCCATTCTGGGGAATGCTGGAGTTAAATCACATTCCTACAACAAAAACGTAATTAGTAGGGGCACCTGGGTGGTTCAGTGGGTTAAAGCCTCTGCCTTTGGCTCAGGTCATGATCCTGGGGTCCTGGGATCGAGTCCCGCATTGGGCTCTCTGCTCAGCGGGGAGCCTGCTTCCCCCTCTCTCTCTGCCTGCTTCTCTGCCTACTTGTGATCTCTCTCTCTCTCTGTCAAATAAATAAATAAAACCTTTAAAATATGTAATTAGTAAATTCAAATTTCTGAAATCACTATATTTCATTGTTTTTAATATTTTCAAGGATTACAGAGTCATTAAAATATTAGAAATTTAACACGGCTGGGTTCAGGATGGATAAAAGACTGAATATCAGACATCGATCATTTTCATAAACTTTATGTGCTACAAGCTACGTTCACCACATGCCTCACCTTGATGTCCTTCTAAAAAATTTTTAAATAAGAACTTAATGGAAACTGGAAGTCGATTATTTAAAATCAGCATGTACAAATACGTTCAGGCAGTAATAATTTTTGCATGGCTCAGAAATGTTCCCTGAAAAAGTAGGTCTCATGGTAATTAGGTTTTGTTAATTCCAGGTAAACCGGGCCGAACGGGCTTCCTTGCCATAGGGTTTTGTTTTGTTTTCTTTTCGTCTGCTCTCCAGTGAGTCTCTGACAGGGGAAGAGAAACAATGGCATCTCTCAAGCTTATCTGATCAATAGAACATTTATTTAGCAGGACACCTCTTGGGACTAGTAGGAAACACTACTTCATCCCAGGACTTTTTTTTACTTGTTAGCAGAAGTGTTTGAATGAGTAATAATTGTATGTGCATTTAAGGAAATTGGCAAGCTCGGGAGCTATGACACATACCTAACTCCGAGTGTAAAGTACTTGAGGGGACAGGCAGGCTCCCGCTTGTCTGTTTGGCGGTACTGTGTTCCCAGCAGCTAACATCAACTCGCTTAACTAGGCAGTTCAAGAAGAGGAGCTTAATAACCAAATTTACTCAGGTCAGGTTTCGCAAACCAGCCTGGACCTGCACCCTCATTACCTCAACCCCCATTACTAACCCCCGTGGAGAACAAAGGATGAGGAAAGCAAAGGACAAGAAAACATTCCTGCCTGTGTATTCCGTGGAGCCAAGGGATTACTAATGAGGTTTCAAGTGATAGGTTGGGCCCCATCTAGTTCAAGTTCCACAAAATTTCATAGAGCCCCTGAGTCCTATGGACCAGGGTCTGATGGGATTCCAGGACAACAAAGATGCAAGAGAACTCATCCCCAAAGGCAGCACAACCTTGGCCATGGCTTCATGTGTAGGGAAAGAAATAGGCAAACATGTATTTATGCACAGATGGTAAATGAGTAATGACTCAAGTATTCCTCAAAACCACGCAGGAGCAAGGCTTTCAACTCAGTCCAGTGAATGGGGTGCCCATTTGCTTACACTTTTGGGTAAGAAAGTATTATTTTCCCGGGAAAAAACAGATTGCCATTTCTAGTTACTATGAAAATCCAACCAGAATTTAGCGGGTCAGGCTTTAGGGGGGTGAACTTGCTTTTAAAACCAGTGGAGCTGGGGCACCTGGGTGGCTCAGTGGGTTAAAGCCTCTGCCTTCAGCTCAGGTCATGATCCCAGGGTTCCGGGATCGAGCCCCACATGGGGCTCTCTGCTCAGCAGGGAGTCTACTTCCTCCTCTTTCTCTGCCTACTTGTGATCTCTGTCTGTCAAATAAATAAATAAATAATATTAAATAAAATAAAATAAAACCAGTGGAGCCATGCTTTCTGATGGCCAGAGTCCTGTGACCTTCCAGAAGGAAATGGAAGTACACTATATTGTACCTAACAATGTTTCTATCTTCTCATGAATACCCTCTTTCTTCCAGCTTACTCTGTTTCTATCCTAAAAGTTACAGAGCTACTGTTGTCAAAGACACTGTCTCCCTTAGGCCATCACCGCCTCCATCTTCTGGAATGGGTACAAGCAGGTACTTGTGGAATAAGGGAGAGAGAGCAGATTGGAAGGAGGTTAAGGAAGGCCACCAAAGGAGGTGGCCAGTGATGGGTAAGGATGGAAGAAACCAACTTTTGACACAGTTATCAAAGGACAAGACTAAACTCTGCTCACACACAGACCAGAATCTGTATTGGATCTACCAGATTACAGACTCCCTGGAGGAGGGTGGCATGTTAAGGCTTTGCTCTCCAGTAAGGAGGCCACCAGCTATGTGTAGCTTCTGAACACTTGAAAGGTGGTTAGTGCCACTGAGGAACTAAATTTCAATTTTTTATTTATTCTTAATTAATGTAAATTTAACTTAAACATTGATCCTTAGCTTAGTGACTGGAAAACTTCCAAGTGTGCTTGGATTGACTCAAGTACATAAATCTACTGTTCAGTTGTACATTTTATGAGACCTAAATACAGATCCAGAATTTCCAATGAAATCCGCTCCTGAGTTGTGCTTTACGTGTGAAATTCACACTGCTTTCACATCCTTCATACAAAAAATAATGTGAAAATGTCCCGTTAATATTGTTTCATATTTACTACATCGTGAGTTGCTAATATTTTAACTCACTGGATTAAATGTTACTATGAAAATTAAACTCACTTGGCTTCTCTTTATCCCCTCCAGAATTCAGAGCAATATGTAGCTCCTGTTAGATTTCTACTGATGGTAACGTCTTAGGAGCGTTTGCATTTTTTTTTCCCAGCCAACACAGAAGGTAATGGAATGGTGGAAAGTACCCTGCCTTATGAGCCAGCTTCTAGCCTCATTTGCCAAGGTTCCTTCATGCGACCTTAGGTAAGTCGGTTTCTTTGAGATCCAATTCCTTTATCTGTGAAATGTGGATAACAATTCCTAACTCCATGACATGGTTGCTGCCATGAAGGACAGAGGACGGAGGAAACAGAAAATACTTTGTAAACAATGACACGCTGTCCTCATGCAAGGCGAAAGGAGGAGCTACTCTATAAATATTTATTGAATAATTCTGTTTCAGGATTCTGTATCAACGGCTAGGCTTATGGCTTTCGCAGATGCACAGATGCCAAAAGCAGGACAGTGGATTCAAGATCAAAGGAACCGACAGAATGGGGTCCTGGGGGCCACGTATCTGGAGTATCCCTCGGTTCTCAGACTGATTGGTTCTGCACCCGAAGAGAACCCACAGAGACGTTTCCCCAAGTACCAATCCCACAGTGTTCTTACGAAAGCCTCACCGGTCCCTGCTTTCTTCCTTCAGTTGCGACCAACCCAGAAATGCATCAAACACTCTGGGGCCCCGGCAGTGACCCTGGATGTGATGCGTACCCAAGTATTCAGGAAGCATTGCCGGGAAGCCTCCATGGTTTGAGGGCTTGCTGGAAACACAGAGGCGGAGGCCATCCCCCAGCGCTCTGGGTGCATGGGGACGAGTGGGCAGCACTTTTTAGTTCATCTGCCCAGAGGAGCCCCTCGGAAAATGTGTCCGTACGGAGGGGGCACCTTTTTCTCATTCTCAAAAAGGTCCCATGTATGCTGCCATTGGTCCTGCTTATATGCGAGGCACATTTTACCTTTCCCAGAGGTTTCTGGGCTCCACTGGGAAAGCAGGGTCTCCTACTTACATGATTTTCCAGTTCCTTCTCTTTTATATTTCTCCCAATGCTCTGCTCGTGCAGCCATTTTTCTCAGTTCTTTTTGACTCATGCTTCAGTTTTATTCCCAACGTTCCAATCAATGCTATCCCCAATTAGCTCCTTCCGGTGCAGAACCCAGGCAGAATTTAGAAGTAGTTCTTCCCAGTGATTTCTCTGGCCTAGTTTCTTCATCGGGGTTCCTTGCCTTGTCCCCTTCAGGCATTCAGAACCTTGTGTTCTTCCCCCTCCTGGCTTTCTGAGCCCCTCAGAGAGGAGGCGGTGCCCGTAGCCTTGCAGGCTGACCATTGATATGGCCTCTGAGTCTTGAAATCCTGCTCCTCGAAAACCCCCACCGCCCCCTCTGCTGATCTCTCTCTAGCCCACTTTCTAACAGTACCTGGTGATCGTTTTTAAGTATGACCCCCTAATTCTCAAGAACTTAAATATTGACTTATCCAACCGTCTGCCCCCAGGTTTTGCCCTGTGTCTGTAACAGACCTTCCCATTAGTTTCAAATCCTCAGAACTCAGAATATGCTCAACAAATGTTTGT